GCAAATGCTTATTCTACTGAGCTATTTCCCTGGCCCTTCCATTGGCTTACTTGATATAATCCATGACTTGCTTTTATGGCACTCAGGTCTACGTCCTTGAAACACATCCTGGGTGCTTCTCATCACCATTAGTGAGGAGACCAAGGCCATACATTTTGTTGGATTCCCCAGGAGAGATCTCTCCCTTTCATCAGTTAGAATTACCTCACATTCCATAAATTGTAGGGTGCTAACAAAATCACTCACCTGGCCTCTAGGTAGGCAAGTTACTGTGCAATCCCCAAGCTGCTCTGGATGCTGGCTTGACCACTCATACCTGAGTGGAGGGCAGCCTCCTACTTATTGTCCACATCCATCCTCATTCTTGTCCCAGAACATCCAGATAGACCATCACACTAGTTCTGGGCAGCACTGAGAGGAGTAAAGATTTATAAAGGATAAAGTGTAAGGAGCCCTCTCACTGAATCAGGATATTTGTACCATCCAAAGTCCTGTTTCGTATATTTTATGGGACAGATAGTCATAAGAACATCTGCATTTCCCCTTACTAACTAGAATTTATACTCTAATCTTTCTTTAAAGGACCCAAAGCCATTCACATTCAGTACACCTGGTATACTTATCCTAGTTCTACTTTAGCCAAGCATATGTAGCCTTGTTTGTCACGAATGAGAACTAAATGGACCAAAATTACCTTGGGACAATTCTGTGGATATCTTTGGTCATGGAAGGATTAAAATCTAGCTGTGATCATTTTTAGTACTTTTTGTTAAATTGTTTTCTAAAAAAAATAGGGATAGATGTAGAATCAGGCAAAGATGAAAAAAAAAGAAATTCAAATACTGAATTATGGGGTTTCTACTCCAATGAAATCACAACATATAAAATAATGTTAAACTTTATTAGATCTATGCTCATCATGTATTTAATACTACATTGCTTAAAAGGTGCTCACTGTACATAAGCAATTTTGATAGATTAACAAAGCGACACTCCTTCCCCAGGTGGTAAACACAGTCCTTTTCAATGGTTTATATGCATTTTCTCATTTCTTCTAACGTTGGAGAGGTAAATAAGAACACTAAGCTGGTATTTAGATGAACCTTAGATTGCACTTGAGATGACAAGCAACCCACAGTGTTTCTTCCTAGGGTTAACTTTTCACCATGTAACCACCCACATTTTTCTTGTGCATATACATATATGTATTGGTATAGCAATGTGCTGTAATATAACATGGAATATATATCATGGTAGCATAATTTACGTATTTATTTATTTTTTGTATTTTAGGGAAGGGTTTACAGGGAGTTCAGGGTCTCACTACTATATCGGACTCATAGTGATCCGTCTGTTTACAGCCTCCCAAGAGCTAGGATTACAGGCGTGTGTCACCATGCCCAGTCTCAATCGCCACCTCAGTGTACCTGAGGGGTGGGGCCAGCACAGCAGACCTGGGGATTGAACCCTCGGCCCCTGCACCTGCTTGCAGGAGCTTTAATCCATTGAGCTATTTGGCCGGCCCTTGGTTTGTGTCTTTTGAGCTATTCTGAAAAAAAAGTAGGAGTCCTGAGAAATACAAAAACCCATTTTCATGTTCTTCTATAATGTGATTTTTTTTCAGTGAGAGACACATTGTTTATGCCCATTATAAGTAAAAATTGAGAATAATTACATAGCTCTTGTTCATAATTATTGAGTTTTCTAGAATATGCTATGTCAGACTGGCTTACATTATAGAGAGATGTCCAAGATGCATCAATTTACTTTCATTCTTTCTTAACCCAAGATTTTTAGCTATTTATGACTTTATTTACATACGTTAAAGTTAATTATTCTTTGCCTTGAAACTTACAAGTTTTTGAAATCCTTCACATTGATCTAGAGCATCTCTTAATTCCTTAATAATTTCTTCTTTCTCTTTCAGTTTCCTTGACAAAACACCCAATTTGACATTTTCAGCATTGTGTGAAGCAGTTTCCTCTTGCTGTACATCAAAGTATTGCTGGGAGGAAAAAAGCAACAATAAAAATTAGATACTAAACTAGAAACTCTTTCAATTTTATTCAAGCTGCTGTCTTGTAATGTTATTTTTGTAAGTTGTGCACAATTTTTAGTAAGTAATTATAATAAAATATCTGCTAAAATATTGGGTGATGCAGCACAGCATTATTCTATAGAACACAAAGAATGCTACATTGCTCCAACTTTAGCAAACATGCAAATAATAATAGCAAAAAATCAAGATGGCAGAATAGGAGGTCTCTAACTGATACCTCTTTCATCATAGCAACAAGAATTTGGCAGCCATTTATCAGTCAGCGTCTTTGTAGATGCTTTGCAACCTGGGCAGGAAGTTGTCTAACTCTGGTGGAGCCCAAGGTAGAGGAAGGCTGTTTTCAAGGGCGGGCCGGCACCCAGGTTACCACCAACTGTGATTTGGGCTACCAGCCTCGAAATGGCTTTATCCCACTGTGAGGGTAGGTAGAATCTCTTTGGTCTCGGTGCACCCACCAGGACCATCTGTTCTGGTCACAGGTCTACTGGCTTCAGTTATAGTTGTAGGACCTGAATGGGCCCTCTTACTCAGCTAAAGCCTCTTTAGCTGTGGTCCAAGAGCAGTCTCACTTCCCAGGGGGCCCACTGCGAGTCTTGACCATCCATGCTCTTGGAGTCAGGCTGTCAATCTCCGTCTCATAGCAAATCTTAAAACACCTCATAACTCAGCCCAACCCCTCTCATGGGTCATCTGTCAACAGTCGGGGACCTGTGGGGAGATAAGACTGTCTGTTTTTCCTCTTACAGTGTCCCTGAAATCCAGTTGTTTCACCCCAGGTTCAGTCCAGATGCAGTCCTGCCTAGCCAGAGATCTTTCAGCAGAAATGTCCCCTGAGGCCTATCTACTGCCCTCAGCCTGACTACATTTATCTTGAAGCAGCTGTGTGATCCAGCTCTAGCCCCACGCAGTCATGGTCCAGGAGCAGTGCTAACTCCAAGATGCCTATCCAGGGACTTGAGGGAGCCACACTTAGGTGCCACCTGTTAACAGGTCCATCTTCAGTTGTCCCAACCCCAGAACCTACAGCAAACCTTTCATCTAGCACCAATCCACTGATCAAGGTGGTAGAGGCAGTTGAGTCTTCTGAAGGACCAGAAAGAATCAAGCCCCTGGGAGTAAACCAGCAAGTTGTGGACCTGCTGAGGACCCAGCAGTGGTCACATGAACCAGCTGCTATTCTGTCAGCTCAGGGACTCAAAAAGAGAAATTATTTACCTGCCAAAATTAATTTATAAACATTGATGCCTGCACAGACTCCAACATAAATCTATGTAGATCATGAAGAATCGGGAAAATGTGACATAGCTAAAGGAAACGAATAAGGCTTGGAAATCTCCAAATTGCCTGGCAAAGAATGCGAATTTCTAAATTGCTTGGTGAAGAATACCAAATAATCAACTTAAAGAAGGTTAATGTCACAGTAAAGAATAAAACAAACAAAATCAGGAAAATGATGTATGGACACAATTTAAAAGTCTAAATGAGAAACAGATAAATTGAACAAAAGAATGAAACAGAAGCCTGGTGAGATAGTTCAGCAGCCTAAGCGCCTACTTAGACAAGCTCAGGGACCAGGGTTTGATCCCTAGCACCACATGCCACACTGACCTCGCTCCTGGGCATGCTGAGCTAGCCACCAAGACCAGGCATGGTGGCACATGCCTGCAATTCCAGTGCTGGGGAGGCTGAAAACAGGAAGATCATTACAAGTCCGAGCTGCATAGTCAGACCTTGTACCAAATACATTAAAAAAAAAAAAAAAAAAAAAAAAACCAAACAGCAACCCTGAAAAGATACAATGACAGATTAAAAATACAACAGGGAACTTCAACAACACATTCAATCAGGAGGAAGAAGAAATTAATAAAACTGAAGACATTTAAAATTAGGTATAGGAAAAAACACAACATTGGATATATGAATTATGAAATTTTGTGATGCACAGAGAAGTGGGGAGAAAGCTTCTTGAAAGAAAGAATAGTGGAGAAATTGCTAAATCTTGGGGGAGATACACACACTGAACTTCCTGAACCTCAAACAATTCTAAGAAAGATTAACCACCCAACAAATATTCTAAGTCACCATAATTAAATTCTCAAAAATCAAAGATGAAGAGAAAAACTTGAAAGCAGAAAAGAAAAGAGTGCTGTCACATAGAGGAGAACTTTCATGAGGCTCTTAACACATTTTCTCAGCAAAAACCATGTAGGCTATGAGAAATACAATAATATTGAAAGGGCTGGAAAAAATTAAAACTACAGCCAAGTATACTGCAAAACTATTGTTCAACCATGAAAGAGAGATAAAGATACCCTAAAGAAAACAAGAGCTCAAGAAACTGATCATTAAATAGACTTCAGGAAAATGCTCATGTGAGTTCTTTGACTTGAAATGAAAGAGAGCTAAATAACAACATGAAAAGTATATGAGGAGAAAATCTACTGGAAGGAGAAAGATATAGCCAAATTCAGAAATAATGGTAATACATAAATCACTACTAACTTTCTAATAAAAGTTAAAAGATAAAAGTGTAAAAAACTAAAGCTACAATAAGTTGTAGACTGATGTATAATACAGGAAAGATGTAAAATGTGATATCAAAGCATGAAATGTAGGAGGAGGGGGGAAAATGGAGATTTTTATGTGATTGAATTTATTTATTTATTTATTTATTTCATTTATTTACTTTTTTATTTTTTATTTGTTTTATTTTTTATTCAAAATTTTATTGATAAACACCAATGAGACAGTTTCAAATCAAATCGGAAGTACAGTTTCAACAAATAACACACTGCATATATTCTTCTTAGTGGTTAATTGTTGTACAAGATGCAGACTTG